AAACTAAAAATAGATGGTAAATGTTGTAAATATCCGATGTCTTGCTATCCCTCATAATTTTTGCAGCCATACCATCATTGTATCTACCATTTTCTCGTAAAGAAACTATCACTGAGTCCTCTAGAAAAGAAAGAGCTGCAAGACGAGAAGGAAAGGAAATAGTACAAGCGTTGATTCAAGAACCAAGCTTAGAAGTTACTGCTGCGATTGAAGTTTCACCGATAGTTGAACCAATTGAACAATCACCCAGCATTAATATCTCAGGGACGGTATTGGACAGTCGTGATAATGAGATAAACATCCTTAAAAGCCAGGTAGTCAAACTTGAGGAAGAAAATAAGGCATTGACAGGAAAATTAAAATTGTTTCAAGAAAGTGAGCAAAAGTTGAAACAAAAAATTGCTGCAATGGAAATGCAACTAAAGGAATTAGGTGGTTTAAAATTTGAAAAGAGGGTGAAGGAATGTTTTAAGGATGTTCTTACTTCAAATCAAGTGGACATCGCCTTAAAGTCAAAGGCACGTTGGACACAAGAAGAACTATCGATGGCTTTCACGTTAAGATATTTTAGTAAAAGGGCATACATCTATTTAAGACAAACTCTTCATTACCCATTGCCTGCCATTTCAACACTACAGCAATGGGCCGCAAATATAAATCTAAAAAATGGGATATTAGATGATGTACTGAGGATTATGGACACCGCTGGCCAAATAAAAACACCCTTGAAGAGAATTACTGTCCTCTCATACGATGAAGTAAAAATATCCTCACAATACGAATATGATCAAAAAGAGGAGGAGGTAATTGGGCCATTTTCATATATGCAGGTTGTCATGGCTAGAGGTCTCTTCGACAACTGGAAGCAACCAGTATATATTGGATTTGACCAAAAAATGACGAAGCAACTTTTACACAATATCATCACCCATCTTCACACTATCAAGTATGAGGTTATTGCTTGTGTATCAGATTGTGGAGGCGGCAATCAAGGATTGTGGAAGGAACTAAACATTACAACAAGTAACACGTCGATAGCACATCCTGTTACTGGTAATTCAGTTTATTTTTTTGCCGACGCCCCCCATCTAATGAAATTGTTGCGCAACTGGTTGATTGATACTGGTTTTGTCACCAGTGATGGTGTTAGCATAAATAAATTTCCCTTTGTCGCCCTTATTGAGTCGAGAGTTTCCGAAATCAGTTCGTGCCACAGGCTGACAACTCAGCATGTTAAATGTGAAAAAGCGCAGCGACAGAATGTAAGACATGCTTGTCAGTTGCTTTCACATACCACCGCAACCGCCTTGAAGCGTTATAGGCCTGGGAACGATACAATATTAGCCCAAAATGTAGGAAATTTTACCGAACTTGTGAATAACTGGTTTGATGTATTAAATTCATATACCTCAACTGCTTCTCTTCCAACAAAAAAGCCGTATGGTTTAGAATTGGAAATGCAACATAAATGCCTTAATGAAATGGAAGAAACTATTGAAGGAATGAGGTGTGTTGGAAAAAACGCCCTCCAGGTGTTTCAAAAGGGTATCCTAATAACTTCAAAGTCACTACAGTGCCTATTTACTGATTTGAAAGAGAGGCATGGTATTTCATATTTACTTACTCACCGCTTAAACCAGGACTGCCTAGAGAACTTTTTTTCCCAGGTTTGTATACGAATTATGATAAATAATTTTCTAATTTTATTACTTTTCAGTTAAGAACAAAAGGTGGTTTACATGACCACCCTTCGCCATTAAATGCAATTTACCGGGTACGGATGATTTTATTAGGGAAAAATCCAGGAATGGTCCAAACGCATTCCAATGTTGAAATACCAAAGGAAATGGATGGAGAGTACTTGATGGCTTCTGCTGTCAAGCAGGCCCAACTTAAAAATTTGGTGGTAACAGAACCATCTAGTACTGAAGAAACCGAACTCAATGAAAGCTTCAGTTCGGAGAGTACTGCTTCTGATGCCCCATTAAGAAAATCTTGAGTGGAAGATGATGGTACTCAATATTTAGCAGGATTTATTGCTAAGAAATGTATACATAAATACCCATACCTAGGTGGGCACAGTTACAAAGATGAAGAGGCTCTTAATTTACATTCTTACGCCATGCCCTCATGGGTACAAAGTCTATCGTTCGGGGGTCTGATTCAGCCATCGGCTGAGTGGATGCGTCAGATGCAAGTTATGGAAACTTACTTTATTAAATTCCACAAAGATAATTTTTCTCCAGGTAAAATAATTATTAAAAGGACAACAAACTACATTATCAAAAAATTGCAAAAGAAAAAAATAGATGTTCCATATGAATTAGTGAAATCATTTTCGAAGCAAAGAATTTTTATTAGAATTAAATATCTAAATTTAAAAAGAGAATGTACTGATAGAAAAAGAAGTTCTGAAGGTGCTGAAAGAAAAAGAAAATGTAAAATAAGGAAAACTATTAATTAATTTTTGTATTTGTGCTTTCATGTGTTATTATTAACTTTTAAATTTTATACTATAGTCACTAATTAATAATGTTTGACAAAATAATGATAAATTTTAATCTGTACATTAAGTGAAGTACTGAATTATTAATTAATTAATTATTAAGAATAACATGTACTTATTTAACAATCTTGTAAATTAGATAAGATAAGACCGTAGTTAATGATTAATAGATAGGAATTCAGGCGTTTGAATAAGGATAATGTAAGACTAAATCTGCTAGTGATTACTTACCGACTGTGAAGTAGTTTATCTGATTAGGATTATTAGTATTTATTTAACATGTGATCAGTTACCCGACTGTGATTCACATATGTGAACGCTCACTTTCTCATACTTTACAATATGCCAGGAAAAGAGGATTCCGTGCTGGTACTCGGGTAGAATTGCTTTATGTATTCGTAAGTCTTGTTTCATAAATTACACTAGCCTTTGTGGTCAGAAAACCATTTCCTGTCTGTAGTGTTTTTTTTAGAAACTACGACACTTTGTTAGCAATTTGACATATCCTAAAAGGTAATAGGCATAGAACTTTATAAAAAACGTCATTTAACGGCTTTGTTTTTATTTTTTATAACAATTTAGGAGTAAAAGGAAACATACTCTCACTTTCAACTTTGATGTAAATGTTCATAACCACACATCGCAACACAGAAATGTATGTATGTTATCATAACTTATATACGTACCTCTTGAAAGAACGCAATTAATATAGAAAATATCCAAAACTGGAGGAATTAATTAAAATTTTGAAAATCAGTGTTTAGCTGTTACAATGGATTTGCACAAAGTTACGTCACACGCTCGTGGTCCCCTATTGGCCGAAAGTTACCATGCAACCTATTAACTTTACTAACCTTGACCTAAGTCGTTACGCGAACACCTTGACACAATTTACTCGCTACAAGATGCAGTTTTCAGGCAACAGTCGCCCAATTTGATATGGATGTTAGATTTTGAGATATATCCTTACACTTACCTTACACGGAATAATAACACAAATGCACAAAAACGTTAATACACTCTAGCACGCCTACTAACAGGAATAACTGAAATGTAGCACGATTAACCTATTGCCAGTAATGGCGGGTTTAAATGTTGCCAACTTCAACACCTTACGATATGAAGTGTGGGAAATTTGAATGTGTATCAAGCCTCCCAGGGTATCAAACCTCCCTAGTCTCCCTTACATTCCTTTATTTTTAGAGTTGATATCAGGATGCAACCATTGTTGAAATTGCGGATCTTGTAACCAACAGTTTTTAAACCGTTTCTCTGTAGTGATCTTTTGTCTTTTGTGTTTGATTTCTGTGTCAGTACTCGAATCTGAATCCGTGTCAGCAACAGTGCTCATCTTCACCTGTCTGTTAAAAAAATGCGTACCCGTACACGTAAACGTAAGCGTAACTAACTTTTGCAAACTGCGATTTACTTCTATTTGTAGTAACTATATAGTAATCGCCATTCGTTATCGGTTAATGCGCGCGCCACATCTACATAACATAACAAAGAGGCAGATAAATCTTGGGCTGCATGTTTACGCCTGCACCGCAATACTACAGTACAGAAGCAGTGCACTGCGCTAGAGTTACAGTTGTATGCGCTTTGTTATATCTTATAAAAAAGCCGATTTAATTTTTTTAATGGGTGGAACGTGTTTTAGAGTGTTCATGCTCATGCCTAAGCGCGCAAAAATTCCCTTTTGACATGAAAGATTCCCTAAAACGGGAAAATTCCCTCGAGGTGGCAACACTGCCTCCGGTCTGTGTCTACGCTACCTAACCTGTGTATAAAAGGCGCTTTCCAATGGTTAGTAGCTGCTCTTCAAGTGTTCATCAACTGTTCTATTCTTAAGCTACACCTATTATGAACCAATGGAACTGATGTATTTCAACTAAACGTGTTTTTAGATGATACATAACCTCAAATAACTTAAAAATAAAAACAATTCCATTGAAAATGTGTTCTACGGAGTCGGAGAGCGATGATTTGTATACAATTACGCTGTTAGACCCCACTGCAAACTTTGAGCATACATTTACTTTAAATTATGTAGATTTTCAAAAAGCAACCCAATCAGCACACAGATGTCTTAAAGGCATACAAAAGATGTCTGTTGCAGACATTTACAATGTCTGAAAGACATCCTTTTACGCCTTGGAGACATCTGAAAGACGTCTTATTGAGAGCTTATGTTAAAAATCCAGACGTCTTTAAAACGTTTTTCTAAGATACTATATTAGGGTGAAGTTACCTAAGAGTACGCACTCTCCCAAGAGTGCGCGAGTAATTTATTTTATAATATAAGGATTTAGAACACTGCCCTGCTTAACGAAAGTGCCGTATGTGCAAAAATTGCCAAAATGTGATTTTTTGTTCTTTGTATACTACGTGCAATTTGGTATCTTGTTGCTAAGTAAAAATGCCGTATATTCCATAAGAAATTTAACAAATCGTTAATTTTGTTTGCAGCATATACACAATTTACTGTAAATACTAAATAAAAACGCAGTATCGATCATGTACTAAACTAAACTGCAGTAAATGATATGTATATACTTCACTCTTACTTAGCAAGTGTCTGTTACTGCTCTCTTGCTTAGTAAAACTCCTTATATTTAACTGAGCGCGTCGACAAATAATATTGTGGTTACAGTTTATGTTTTTATGCTGGAGCGTCTGGATCGTCTGTCTCGCGCAAAATTAGACGACGCACACCGACAACCGTTTGGATAAATGTAAACAAAAACAAAATAAAATTTAGTAATCAGTCGCATGCATCGAGTGCACGTGGAGCTTTTAATTCGTTGCGTTATAAGTTGGCTTGGAAGTTTGTTTTTTAATTTATTATTGACCATCCGCCGGTTTTCACAATGTCAAAGCGTAGTGATAAAATAATGGCACTTGTTAAGGCACAATCTAAATCAAAACATAGTTTATCTGTGATGTGTAATAAAGAAAATGTGGTTCCAAATAATTCTTTATCTACGTTGGTTTCTTGTGATAATAAATATTGGGATGAGATATTAGCACCACAGGAACAAGATGTTTTGCAGGACTTGGGAGAAATCCCACGATGTGGTAAGTTTTTTTAGTTTTCCTACAAGCGTGCGTAAAAGTACACTTTTACGGCCGCATTTGAGCGTGGACAGTTAAACTTTCCGCACGCATTGTAATATGAAAAATATCATTTTTCAGATTACAATATTATTAGTTATGACAAGGGGGCTCCTGTTCAACTATTTGCGGTTCCAGAGGAACAAGATATTCTTCAAGAGCCTGTAGAAATCCCACTAGATGGTAAGTGTATTTTAAGCTTTAATCTCTTGTGCAAAATTGACGCTTTTTAGGCAATTTTTGTCTTTGCTAAATAATTTAAATTTTTTTAAATTTCTAGCAATTTTTGTTTTTCAGATGATGTTATGCGATGCATTATAAACACACATTCTGATATAACTGTACTTGGCACGGGACGCGATTTTCTTGATAGCATCATAATAGAACAGAAAGATGCTGAAAATATTACCACTGAACAAATACAGCATTTTAACCAAAATACAGATGCAGGTCCGTCTACAAAACCTACAGGCGATTCGGTAAATCTATTTACGAGTGAAATTAACTTAGAAAATCAACTTGGATTAAGTGCTAAAATCACAGCTTCGGCAAATAGTCTTGTAGAAGGTAAAGATGAAGATGAGTTGAGTACTAATCAGGGTGGAATCATAGCTTCGGCAGACAACCTGCGAGAAGGGAATGCAGAAGAATTGAGTGCTGATCACCCTGAAAATCCAGTTTTGACAAAAACCGTCGGAGAAGAACATGCATTGGAACCGACCAACTTATATACTAAAGAGGGAAACCTAAGAAAAAGAAAAAAATATGACATGTCTTTAGAAATGCGAAAACGTATAAAATTAAACAAGATAAGGGAAGACCATAGGCCGTTGCAGTCGTGCGATCGTGATAAATGCAAAAAAAAATGCAATATTAAAATCTCAGAACTTCGACGATCTGAAATCAATCGGCAGTTTTGGAATTTGTCTTGGTTAGAAAGGCGAACATTTATTTTTAATACCTGCAAACGCTTGGCAGTGAAAAGGCGACCCAAGTCTGCAGAAAGTGAGAAAAAACAAAATACGTTTAAGTATTATTTCCCTGACGAAAAATTATTAACTGAGGCAGTTACTCACGAAGTCTGTAAGGTATTTTTCCTAACCACATTAGGTTATAAGAAAAACAATGATCGGGTGATAACAGAAGTTTTATCAAAAACTGAAAAAGGAAGTCTGCAACCAAATCGAGACCAGCGCGGGAAACACGACAAACACAACAAATTTGAACATGAAGACTTGCTTGAACAGCACATTGAATCTTTCAACCCCACAATCTCTCATTACCGTCGCGAGCACGCGCCGCTCACAAGATACTTACCCAGTGATGTGAATATTTCCCTAATGTTTGACGATTTTAAAAAGAAATACCCTAATTTTAAATTGTCATATGAATTGTACCGCCGAAAAGTGAAGAGCTTACGTATATCATTTGCATCGCTAGGTCACGAAGAATGCGAAGATTGTGAAGAATTTCAATTGCATGGCCATCTGAAGGATAATCTACAACCTGATTGTAAGCAATGTGAAATCTGGAAGAAGCATATAGATAAAGCCAGTGCAGCTCGAAATCTGTATCGACAACACGCTGAGCAGACGTTTGAAGATGGCACGGTTTGTTGCTCAGCAGACCTCCAAAAAGTGATCATGCTGCCACGAATTGACTGTTTTAAAAAAGTTATCTTTACAAAAAGAATAGTCGTATATCACGAGAGTTTTGTTCCAGTTGGCAAAAAATCAAACAATAAGCCACTTGCCTGTATATGGCATGAGGGCATTACTGGGCGAAATAAAGAGGATATCATCAGTACCTTTTACGCATTATTCCTGAAATACAGAGATTCACCACGGATTATTTTATGGCTGGACAACTGCTCCAGCCAAAATAAGAATTGGTGTTTTCTAGCCTTTCTGATATATATTGTGAATTCGGATGAAATGGCCATTAATGAAATAAACATACACTACTTTGTCCCGGGCCATACATTTATGTCGGCTGATAGCTTCCACCACCAGGTGGAAGCTGCCTTGAAGAAGCAGAAAAAGACATATGATTTTAAAGATTTCTCAGAAGCTGTTCAAAGCGCGAATAAATCCAAAGTGGAAGTAAAAGAAATGAAGCACACGGATTTTTATCTTTGGAAAGACTTTAAGTCACAACAAAAAATACAAAAGGCACAAAATAGATTATATCTAGCAGACATTGTTAAGATAAAAGCTATAAGGGGTAGTTATGATTTAAAATGTAAAACTGATTTAACGAAAGATGATTATATAACACTAGATTTTTTATGTAAAAAGAATATGAAAAAAAACGGAATGCCTGCACCATCTCCTTTATCAGCACCATGTGGAGTGTCATTTGAAAAACGCGAAAGTATTCTCAAAAATTTAGGTTCTGTTCTTCCAAAAAATAGGCAAAAATTTTGGGAAGAATTGGAAATAAACACTCTTGCGTAGTGGACAATATTTTCAAAGGTTAAGTTTTCTTTTGTTTAGAAATTTTTTTTTTATTTTTGTTAAAAATGATTCAAGATACTTTCAAGACCTGTAAAAAATAATTTCAGTATATTTTTTTAATGTGTTGCTAGGCATATAAGCAGCAAGTAAAGCCAGTTTAACAAGAAAGCAGTATGTGCGCGCATAAACGGCATTTTTGCTTAGTAATGTCAATTCCTTGTTTGCTGTATATGCATTTATTAGTTGAAATAAATATTTTATGTTAAAACTGAGTATTTGAAAGTATTCATAATAATAAATTTGCATATAAAACATGTCTTTCATTTCCTAATTAAGCGCAGGGTTTTTGGTAACCATCAAATGAAAAAAGTCTTAATATCTCAAAATGGCGATTTTGCACTTACGGCACTTTCGTTTGGCACGGCAGAACACTACCTGACACCTACTTTGTAAATTATGAACTATTTAAAGATGGAGTGCACTAGTGCAGAAACAATCAGTCATCACGTGATTAGTTTTCCCGCGTTAACGGTGCATCGTGACAGACAGCAGTAAATATTACAATTTTATTTGTGTTCGAAGTAAGGCTTTGAGAGGTAAGTATCTGGATTAACTATATATAGCATGATATACTACATACATCAGTGCTTTAGCTACACGCAGAATAAGGTGTAACTTGAATTTTGTTACCTACTAAGGTTAAATAATATTAGATCAAAACAGGAAACCGATTCATTGTCTCAAGAGTACGCACACTTCTATTCCCAAGAGTACGCACTGCGCACTGCGCACTCTTGGGAATACCTAAGAGTTTAAGGTACCTACATCTCGTTTTTTTGCAGAGAATGGCTAATTACTATGTGAGGAAGTCTGAGAGGAGACTTGCATTTACAGAAGACTTAATGCAAACAATTCGAACGGAAATAGAAAATGGTAAATCAAAACGACAGTTATCTAGAGAATTGAATATTCCCGAATCCACTATTCGGAAACGATTGAAACTTGGAACAGTCCCACAATCCTTAGGAAGATTTAAATGTGTTTTTAATAACGACATGGAGAATCAGTTAGCTGAATATGTAAAACAAATGGATACAAGGTTTTATGGTCTAACACGAAAAGATCTCAAACACATTGCTTTTGAATATGCTATTATGAATAATTTACCACATCCGTTTAACATGGACAAAAAAGTGGCAGGTGATAAATGGGTTAGACATTTCTGTAAGAGACAGAAAATGGCTCTTCGACAACCTGAAAAATGCTCTATGGGGCGTATAATGGGGTTTAATAAACCTCAAATAGAGAGATTTTTTTTAAACTTGAAGCAGTTGTATGTCAAATATAATTTCCCTCCTAAGCGAGTGTATAACATGGACGAAACTGGGCTTAGTACGGTTCCGAACAAACTACCTCGAGTAATGTGTGAGAAAGGAAAAAGAGCTGTTAGTAAAGTTGCAAGTGCGGAAAGAGGTCAATTAATAACGGCAGTGTGTTGTTTCAATGCAAGTGGTGAATACGTTCCCCCGGCATTAATTTTCCCAAGAAAGAGAATGAAGGAAGATCTGTTTAAAGATGCCCCAACTGGAACGCTGAGAATGATATCTGATTCTGGGTTTATTAACTCTGATTTGTTCCTTGTATGGATACAACATTTCAAATCGAGTGTTAAACCAAGTCCAGAAGAGCCAGTTCTCCTGCTGCTAGACAATCACGTATCTCACCGAACACTGGCGGTAGTAAATTACTGCCGTGAGAATTTTATCCACCTCCTATCGCTTCCGCCCAGAGACTTGCTATAACTAGACTGCGCTTAACGTATCTAAGGTGTTGTCGACACAGTATGCAACACACAGTGCACCGCGGGGCAAAAATCGCTGAGATGATATGCAATACATTATATTGCAATAAGCTGTTATTTTAGATGTTCCGTTCATTAATCATTCTCGTGATTAGCTCGAATTAGTGAACAGATAAATTTCTGTTGAGAATAAACCAATAAACTTAGGTTAACTTGTGCCTATCAACATGTACTCTGTCGATAAATTTTTAAATAATATGCTGATTTTCAACGGATAAAGGTTTAAAGGGCCAATGGATCAGAGCCATTCGAAGCGAAAAATTTACTCCCACCATAGTGCATTTGCGGGGAATGAAGCCGATTTTAGAAAGGTACCTACAAAGGTGTTAAACAATAATGCAATACCGAGCGTTTTCGACTTTCCCATTCACTTAAAATAACGTAGAACTATTATTCGACATCCTTTACCAGCAAGACAACGGCAATACCTATTTGCCTATTAGGTATAGACGTAACTAAGTACTTAATGGTACTAAGTATATTTCAGGTTTTGTTACAAGAAAAATAGCTTAGTCTGTTAAATGTTCCATATGTACAGATGCGACATTCGCATCAGAGAATCATTCAAAGCTTTTAACTAGAAAAAATCGTGGAGGATTGTTGCACGTATCAAGCGATGCATTAAAAATTGCCAAATTGCTGAAAATGTGTTCAGGTTTTTCATTCAATCCACACCACACCGCGTTGTAAACAAAATGGTTATCAGCAGTCTAAGAAAAATAAATAACAGTTACAGCCCATTTGGGTTTTTGGATAACCATATATTGAATCAAAATCCGCTAAATAATCATATCTTACTACTTACATCTTTAGTTTTAAGAGTATATTTTCTCATGACTAGAGTAAGGCAGTTATATACCAATTTAGTTCAAATAAAATACCAATAAATTCGATTAAAACAGTTAACAGCTATATGTTATGTTTTTTTGCTACTAAAATTTAGAATAAATGGCTAAAGCAAGCTGCAGAACGTACGTCTGCCCCGCGATGAACAGTTGGTTGCCTATCCTATCTTGACAACAGGCGTTTATAGTAAAATCTACGTTACGCGCGGTCTAGTTATAACAAGTCTCTGCTTCCGCCTCATTCGAGTCATAGGCTTCAGCCATTAGATAAAGGATTTTTTGGCCCCTTAAAATCAGCCTATAGTGAGGTATGTGATAATTACCTTGTCACACATCCGGGTAAGGTTATCACTCAATCGGAAGTTGCCGGATTATTTCGGAAAGCGTATTACAAAGTATCAAACATTGAGAAGGCCACAAATTCTTTTTCCACAACAGGTATATCGCCATACAATCCTAACGTGTTTGGAGAGGAAGATTTTGCACCATCTGCAGTTAGTGATAAACCATATCTCAGCTCCATTGCATTGGCGAAAGAAGGTGATGATCCATCATTAAAGCACTCTATTCTGGTCAACTCAGAAGAACTGTCAAATGAGGAAAAAACCGAACACTCAAGAGTCGATTCCATTAGTAAGTCAGACAACCCAATAGTGGACACTGTTCCAGTGATAATTGAATTCCCAGACCAAACAAACGTTTCGAGGTTTGAGCTATTAAAATCACCGATTACAATCGACATGAGTGAAGTGCAGTTGGAAAATGTTCCCATTTCCAGCATAATATTAGAAGGCGAAAACCAAAAAAGTAATGAGATTGTGACACCATACCAAATTAGACCCTTGCCAAAAATGGAAACCTCCAATGTGAGACGGAGGAATGCCCAAAAGTCTGAAATTTTAACAAGCACCCCTTTCAAAAACTCCATTACAATAACACCGCCTGCACCACCTTCAAAAGCCAATTCTGTTAAGAGACGATTGCAGTGTGAAGTAGCAAACGTTTCCAAAATTGTGCCATCTACGTCCAAATCCTCTAAGAAGTCCAAAGAAAAAGAGTCAGTACGAATGTCACAAACAGAGACACCAGAAGAGGATGTATTTTGCCCAGGTTGTGATGAAAAATTTGTGGAACCGCCCGATGAAGATTGGATACAGTGCTTAAAGTGTGCTCATTGGTGGCACGAAGCTTGCACATACTATTCAGGAGGGCAATATTTGTGTGATTTTTGTAATTAGGGTTTTGCGCACTCTTAAGAACGTCACTGCGCACTCTTAAGGCGCACTGTTCCCAAGAGTGCGCAAATGCCACTCTACAAATATGTTTCGTTTTGTTGTAATTACCATTTATTAACATAATATAGTATTTAGTAAACTAAAGTAAATATAGTATGTGTCCGTTTTTCAATTTGTTTAAAGGTGCAGTACAAAATGGATGCCTAATAATGTCAATAAAATGTTAAGTGCGTACTCTTGGGCAACCTCCCCCTAGTCCAAAAAGACATAAAATGGGAAAATATGAGACATACTTAAGACGTTTTATTAAAATACTGTTTTGCTCTGAAAAGGTTAATGAATACAATGAAATGTCAAAATTGTACATATTTAAAATTTTAGTAAAGCACAGATTAAGGTGTTCTGCGGTATAAGTAAAAACATGTATCGTTAAGCAGTTTTTTTGTTTAATAAACTTGCACGTCTGTCACTAGCCCGCTTTAACCAAGTTTGGATTCCCACCTCTGCTTCACTTCTATTTTTCACAATACCGGCCTTTTCTGCGGCATCTAATGATAAGAAAGAAAACAATAATTCAATTTTAAAAATAATTTACACTTACATATAATAACTTTTGCGATTTTCAAGTTACTAAAAGGTTTTTTTCCTTTTCTTCCTAACCAGCTGTACTGTAACGCCATATCGTTACTCAAGCTAATAGTACTCGTTTCACAAAATTATACGAACTGCTACCTCCAATTTTCGCAAAATCTGTAACCTAAGCAGACATTATTTACAGTTATACATTTACTTAATGTAAGACAAAATTACCAGTAAGTCTAAGTCTTCTTCATTCTCCAGAATAGCGTCCAAGGTATCAAATTGTTCTCCCGATATTATCGGAAATACAATGTTTGTAAATTTCTTGGCAAAAGTTATTTCTTCTGGATTTTGCACGTTTCTCGTTCTGATGTATTGCTTTATTTCTTTTACTTCACTTAATATATCCATACATATTGCACGATTAATATGCACTTGTTCAGCAATAGATTTCAGGTATTTATCTGTAATAATTCAAGTATATGTAAATAATTAATTGTATAGCAATTCATACGAACAAAAAACACACAATTAAAATGTGCTGGTCTTTACTAAATCCCAAATGAGAATGTATTTGGTATGTATAAAGATTGGTCAGAAGTGGACATAACAGCGACCCAATTGAATGAGATTGACTTAGCTAATGCTTCAAAAAAATTATATTTTCAAAGTACTAAAGAAATTATATACAAAACTTTTAAAACATAAACCGATGCAAAAATACATACCCTTTTCAACATTCAATTTACATCCGTAATTTTCATTTTCAACAATAGAGACCTCAGGATCTATAACTTAATTCCAAAACGTATGAAGAAAACACAAATTAAGTATTGTTTACCTATTGTACTTTCATATGGTTTTGGTGCTATTTGGATACTTTCCCCATTCCTTGTGTTATTTGGACGTTTTCGCTGTTGATTGCCCTTTCTTAGTATCTCACTGTTTCTTGAGTGATCTGAAAAAACGGAGAATGTAGGGTAGCAAAATTTAGAAGAAATTACTACCTTTCTGTTTTGGATTTTTTAGTTTTGGAGGTGATGGTAGCATTGTGTCGCTGCTTTCAGATTCACTACTGGAAATTATTTTTTTTTTCCTTTTTCGTTTGTTACAGTCTTCTGTGTCTGTATTTAAGTCGCTGGTGTTCTCAGCAACCTTTGCCTTTTGTCTAGCTATCCCATAATCATCTAAAAATAATTTTTTTATACACAAAATGTCTTAAATGTTCAGGTTCAATTACGGAATGTGCCGTCCCGGAAAATTTTCACGTGAAGCGTTGGCCAACAGGTGTTTAATGGATCGCCATTTTTTATAGAGTCGGATAGTTTGCTTGTTGGGTATGGTGGCCAGTGGCACAAATCTCCTATAATCCAATGTGAAGGGATTGCTTCGACAGTTGCATCGTCAAATGTCCACGATTTATCTTCCATTTATCGGTGTTTGGAAATTGTTCACAAGTCTCATGAGGAAAGTTATAATTAAAAAAAACAAGGCTACGTGTACCAGAATGTAAATATCTACAACATTGTATAACTACAAGAAAAACACAAAATTTCGATTTTATGACGAATTATATAGAACAAAGATTAGATAAGCCAAAGGACTTTTGTAAATGAATTGTATGATTATTATTATTATTACTATTATTACTCAGTATTCTCACCTTTAAGACTTGTGAACAAGATATCGTATTGATGCTAAAACTAGATGCATTAATTAAACCTGCGTATGTATAATTGGAACAACAAAACTTTTGTGGGCTATTTTAAAATGAAGACATTTATAATCAACATTCTCAAATTCAAATAAACAATCAGTATCAAAATCTGTTGATTTTGCTGCAAATATGCCTAAGTCTGATGATTCACACGGTGAACTATAGAGTGAAGTTAAACTTAAATATTTATTTCCCAGGAATTTAAACTCGTTCTGATTGAGAACAATGTCTTTAATAATTATGACATCCCCATTTTTTAGACGACAACAATTATCAGGTTCACGGGTAGTTAAAATAAAATTTGAATAAGCAACCGACTTTGAATGGCTTGTAATCTTCAGTTTTGTTAAAAGTGAAGTAGCATTCTGGTCACGTTTATAAATTGGACAATTTTTTTTTTCATAATTATAATTTTCGTTTTGCTTCTCAGAATGCCTTTTTACTATTTGCTGCAAAGGTTTCTCACATTTTCGTAATGACTTTAAAATGCTTTGGAGATGGTTTTCAAAAGGAAAAGCGCTAAAATTATCAAGTACCCCATGATACTTTACATCATCAGTTATATGAAGAAGATTATGCACATTGTGAGACATATTTTCTGGTCCATATAGAATTTTAAACGTTTTTACAAAATATTTCAGGAGTTCCGAAGCATATTCAATTTTTGTTGTATGTTGAGGATGAGACAAGATGATTACAGCTATATGCAAGGACAAAAAATTGATATATCTATCTCGGTTTATGTTACTTTGAAGAACTATGGGTCCAGTATATAATAAAAATTGGCGAAACTCTGTTGCTTTCCACCTTCTTATTTCATTTAAACCTCTGGGTTTCCTATTGAATTCAAGAGGGACATTCGGAGAACACTGTTTCAATAGAGAAGATATGTCTGAAATTTTTTGGAAAGCCAGTTTTGTTGACGGTTTCCCACAACACCAAAGTAATAACAATTTACGCATCACACCTAAACATATTAAGTGCATATCTGTACCTTGGAAGAAAAAGGGCCAATGTCCATAAATTACGGTTTGGGGCTTATGTCATAGACAGTGTTGTCGCCTTCCATACTTTCATATAAAAAAAGGCCAATCTCCACGGTATGCTAATATTCAATATAGTGAATTCCCATTAGGGCGTAAGTCCATTTGAGTTTCATAGAAAAAGGGCTAATGTCCTCAACGATGGACTTTGGCCGTTTCATATTAATTGTGATAAAGGCCAATGTCCATCATGATGGACATTAGCCCTTTTACATGAATTAACTTTTGGACATTGGCCTTAATTAATTATTATGCTGCACATGTTTTAACCTCAAATTTTAGTGTAACGGTATTCTTTTTGTGGTGTTGTTTATGAACAATAAAAATGAATAAAAGGACGCTTCAAATTCTGAGAAACTGCGGACTCGCATCTCAAAATTGTAAGTTCACTTTTGCACATATTTATGTTGCATTGAGGATTAAAGTTATATTTTTTAGCTGATAATGTTGATAAGAAACAGAGAAGTGAGTCAACATTACCTACAAGTTCAATAGCTGATAATAACTGTTATTGTTCACCTGAAATGTCATTACAACCTTTAACTCCTATTGTAAGTATACTTGTACATAATGGAATAAACGGCACTCAAATTCTAAATTTTGCGATTGAATAGATTACCAAACAATATTATTATTAAAATGTATTATTGCTAAATTGGTTTTAGGTATCCAATGAGATCCAACTGATTGAGGATAACGATTCGAATAATTACGCAACTTTGCAGAACATTACGATTGAAACTAATGCGGTGAGTGGTTTTTATCTTATTCATTTTTTTAGAAAATGCAGATCGACAGGAAACAATGATAACACAAGCCAAAACTTTTTTAAGCAATGTCGGTTTTACCAATAGGCTAACTACATATCTTAGTGAGACAGAGATAACAACCGAGTTTTTGTTTTAGACCAATCTCGAACCAGGGGAATTTATTACTGACAACGATGATGATTCATATGTAGATCCTGATTACTCACCCTCCGATGCTTCTGATATTGATGATGGGATCGACAGTAACATGAACTCGTATCCAGTTACAGCAGATTTTGAGGTACATCGTTTTAAATTACTATTTTTTATAATTCGCCTAACAAAAGCGTTATTTTTTAGAATGTCCAACTCCAGAGCGAAAACCCAGAAGAGATTTCAGAAAATGATACTCCTCATAAAAAAACAGAAAATGAACACACGCGTTTCGAGGGAAGTGGAGAACAGAATTTGGAAAGTCTTACTCAGAAACGTAAAGTAGGAGGACGTCAGAAAAAGGTAGATGAACAAAAAACTAGGAAGCGTGTTAGAAATGCTAAATCGTGGAAGGAAAATATTAGGAAAGCGTTGAAAGAACAAGGCAAAGAATATGTGAGCAAGAAAGGAAGCGTTAAGGTTGCAAAAGAAATGAAATTGCCTTGCACTTGCCGAATGAAGTGCTATGAGAAAATTAGTGAAGAACGCAGGAAGAAGCTATTCGAAGATTTTTACAACTTATCAAAAGACGCCCAGGATCAGTATATTTCAGAGACCATTAAAGAAACCACAAAACAAAGAGAAAGAGTTAGAAAATTAAAGGAAAAAAATGGTAATTGCAGTCGCAGAAAATTTACTAGAAAATATTTCCTAACGGATGATAACGGTCAAAGTAATGAAGTGTGTCAGATAATGTATCGTCATACCTTCGATTTTACTTTAAAAAAAATTAGGATCATTACAGAGAAAAAAAGAGTGGCTAAGTCAAGCATTTGCCCTTTAGATGGTAGAGGTAAGCACTCAAAACACAAGAAAATTGCAGATGAGCAAAAAGATACTATCAGAAATCACATCAATCGTTTTCCGGCATACAGGAGTCATTATTCGCGAGAACGTACCTCAAAGAAATACCTAAGTTCCGATCTTTCGATTGCAGAGATGTATCGTCTGTACTGTGAATATTGCAGAAGCAATGATAAAACAGCTGAAAAGGAGTCACTATATAGAAAAATTTTCAATGAGGAGTTTAACCTTAGTTTTCATGCTCCAAAAAACGATACTTGTGCCAAATGTGACCAGTTTGCCTTGAGCTTACAAAACTTGGAAAACAAGCAATTAACTGAAGAGGAAAATGAGATTCAGAAAAAACTTCTGGAGGACAAGGAAAAACATCTAGATTTCGCTGAAAAAGCTTATAAACAAAAGGCGCTGGACAAAGAACGAAGCAAACAGGATAAGTCTTTTGCAGTAGCCTCTTTTGATTTAGAAAAATGTCTGCCAACACCGTATCTTCGTAACGGTGTTTCATTCTACAAAAGGCAATTATGGACGTACAACCTAACTGTGTATCAAACTACTACAAAAGGTAGTGTTGGCATTTGTTACCTTTGGAACGAAACAGTAGCAGGCCGTGGTGGACAAGAAATATCTTCATGTCTAAGGCAGTTTATACTTTCCCTTCCAAATGAAGTGGAAGTGCTTCACTTGTATAGTGATTCGTGTTCCGGACAAAATAGGAATATTTTTATGTGCACAATGGTCTTGTTAGTAATGAATGAAATGAAAAGGTTGGGTCGAAGCTTGAAAGAAGTGCATCATAAATTTATGGAACCTGGTCACACCCACATGGAGGCGGATACAATACATGCCGTGATAGAAGCTGCCAAAAGGAAAACAACGGCTGAAATAGAAGTTCCTCACGATTGGTGCAATTTTATAAGGAACATACGAAGAAGTCCTCCTCTACAGGTTGTAGAAATGCCACAAAAGGAATTTTTGAATTTCAGTAGCCTGCTATCCGATAAGTTGGTACATCGTAAGAAAAATGACGATGGCGAAGCAATTCCATGGATAAAGATAAAATGGTTAATGTACAGTCATAATAACGATTATCGTTGTTTGTATAAAACGAGTCTTGAGGAAAGCGAAGAATTCAAAAAAATTGACCTAAGGAGAGGCTCTACCAGAAAACGAGCTAACGAAATTGAAGTTGCCCAACCGAAACCAATTACTTTGGATCCTCTGCCTGTAGCAGAGCTTAAGGTTAGCAATCTGATGGATTTACTGCCCTATATCAGCCAATACAATAAACCATTTTATCAAGCTTTAAAAAAATCTGAAGAACTGGATCCTGATATTCTTCCAGGCGCCGAAAGCGATTAAATGGCATTTTATCTTATTATTTCTTGTTGTTTTGTGGAAAATAAATCATTTTGTTGACCGAGTTTTATAGTGTAATTTCTCAAATGTAGGCCCAATGTCCACTTCTGTTTCAAAATTGAAGGCCAATGTCCACTGCTTTCTTATATTTTGTAAAAAAATAAAAAAATCATTACATTATATTAAAATAGTCCAATGTGACTAACAATATTAAACAAACAAAAAATCAGTATTAGAATAAACAACTACGATATTCAAATAAATAAGTTACGTAAAACTTCTAAATCATTTTATTCAAAACATCTGAAATGGAAAGCTACGGATCATGTCTATATATGGAATATTTTCAATTATAGATGTGCCAATGTGGTGGTCTTCATCAAATTTGGATCTGAACTGGGTATCAGTTCTGAGTTGTGGAACATCATTGACAGGAAAACACACACGATTCTCAATATAGCTACCCTCCACCGGACACTTGGTACAAGAAGAATAACCCGTGTGGCTTTTTATACATTTAACATATGCTTTGGCAGGTGCGTCGCAAATGATTCCTTTGATCCTAACTTGGAAAAGTGTTCCATTTATTACGATACCATTGTTAATAATATTAGTAGCATCATCCACAAATTCGGCTAAAAATGAATTTGAATTTTTTGGTTTTTCATAACCATGATAGACACCCACCATTTCTACGCTATTACAACCCACAATATTACACAGTATCGGATATACCTGGCTATTCGAGCTTTTCGAAAGTGGTAAACCATCTATGTTGATATTTATTTCTAATACACTTAGTTTGTCAGTAACATCGCCTGAAATGTTCACAAGTCTTTTCAAACAAGATCGTAACCCAAAGTGATAATATTCTCCTGGTTCGATAAGTTTAGTATGTATCGTTCTGGCCGTACCTAGCAATGTTCAATGGTAAATTATCAGGAATTTGGGTTGTTTTCAGAAGACGTAGTAGATCATTAATGGCGCCATGTGTAATGTTATGTTGCAGTGACCAATTTTTAAGCTTCGGCGTAATGTTATTATCACACAAGTTTTGAACATTCGCAATTTTGTCTGTAATGAAAGTTGAATCGCTCAAGCTGAAATTTTGACTTACTGGCAGAGCAGCTACATCATCGTAATCAGATACAGCTTGATCTAAATGATCCATTACCATCTCATCTATATTAATTAAGGAATCCTCTTTTTGATGTGAACTTAACGTGCACCGAGAAGTTGAAACTTTCTGTCTCTTAGCACGCATATAATATTTTTGAATATCATTTGTACGATTCATTTTGTAATAGTATACTCTACTTACGTGTGGAAATGAAGTACTTACAAAAAAAAAGGCCAATGAATTGTATTTGAGGTTAGATTTATCTGTAAAAGAAATTTAATACATTAGCACAATTTCAAATAGTAGGTGCATACCTAACTAATAACCTTTTGCAAATTACTTACCTTGAATTTGAGATAACAGAGTAAATAATTGATTCACAGCTAAAGAATTGCAGTTAGCGGGAAAATGAAAAAAACGCGGGCTTGTCATGTATAGATTATAGGTTAGGTATGTTACCAACCCAACCATCCATCATGAGATCAACGTTACCAACTACCATAAAATAAAACACTAAATTCAAATACAGATTTGTGACAGAAGGTTGAGAATCCTATCGTATATAATAAATAAAAATGAATGTTTGTATGTCTCTTATGCCTACCTAAACAGTTCATCCGATTGCGATGAAATTTTGTGAAATAGTTGGGTGTATGCCCGGGAATTGCTACATAATAAAAAAAATTGTCTGTCTGTACGTATGAGATATCCCTTATGCGGTACGAAGTTCGCCGGGACAGCTAGTGTTATATAAAACTAATTAATTAATCAAAAACCTTACGATAAGCCGTACGCATTGATTGGTTGCAGACGTCTATACAACGTCTTTAAGACAGCTTAAGCTATTGTCTTAAGAACGTCTAATAGAAGATGTCGTAAAGACGTCTTTCTTAAACCCAAAGACGTCCAGTCCTAAAAACGTCATAATTTGTACATCTTAAAGACGTTGTGTGCTGTCTGGGAAAGACAGGTAAAGTACACAAAATTACTTCACAATTTACATTTTTTTTATTAAATGATTGTAGATACATCATTTGCACGTGCACTACTTTGTAGTGTCACTAGTGTGAGTGGTATATTTTTCGGTACTTACCATCACCAACATATCCATTGCAACAAATGTTATTAAAATCCTAACCTAAAAGTGCGTAAAACTTTTGAACTGTTCTAAAAATTTGCATGTGTTTGAGGGGGCAGGGGAATGCAAAATGTGCGGTTCAAGAGTGTGGCGCTTCTGTGCAAAGGAACACACAAAAAGTTAATCGAGCAGTTACGGAGCACTCCGGAAGCGCGCTATGCAGGTCATTGGAAAGCGCCTAAAGTAAGATACACAACATAATTGTTCCATACGTTCTAGGTATGAACTAATATCGGACTTCGACGATGAAAAATGTTCGATTGACCCAATTAACGCAGACATGCTTGACACTAAACTTCCGCAATTTGATTCCTGATCCTCGTCGCCAGATATGCTACGCCTCGACTCTCTAGGATATAAACTCACACTGGTAAATTGTTTATTCAATCTACAACATTTAACATTAGACAAAAGTGAAATACACAAAAATATCTATATCAATGTCCCTCTTATTATTTTCTATCTATTTGCTACAGTTCATTTTTCCTACAGTTACATTTCATATACAGCAGACGGAAAGCCTAAAACCCAGAGACATGGAAAGGGGAGATAGCGCATGAAACTGCGCGAAGTTACAAAACAAGGGGGCTGCCATTTTGACACCCATTGAAGCGCGAAATTTGAACAGGACTATAAAGGTTTACTGACGCAACCCAGAGACATCTAACGCAATCTTCATACACTACACTCTATTCGGCAGCAGCTCCGTAGGAAGAAACTAATATCTCAATCCAAATGAACAAAAGAAAATGCCAGTGACGTTGACGTTACAAAATAAACACTTAAACCTCGAAAAAAGCTCTCCTAAACACGAACACAGGCTAAAATAACACCACTATAAACACAACATGACACAACGGGTGTAAAAATGGCAGCGCCCATGAGGTCGCACCCTTTCTTGGATGCGCACTCGTCGATCAGCGATCTCCCCTTTCCATGTCTCTGCTAAAACCAAGTTACCATTTTCTAAAATAACTAGGGGAGAGGTGGGTAAAGTGGCATAGGCGGGTAAAGTGGCCAACGATAATTTAATGCACTTGCCATTTAGTGACAATTTCGAAATATAAAAATAAATTGGTAGATTCACTAACTGTAGACACTGTAGAAAACTGAATATGCTGGTGTACATGTGATGTGAGTCAAGGTATTACAGGTTAATGTCAAAAGTGGTGTTCTGACTTCTGATGTAGGTAAAATAAGTACATACCACAGAATACGGCCTTCTCAGAATAGAAACAGCAATGTTACAAATTTGTATAGTATTTTGGCGGACCCTGGTGGGTGTACTGTGAACTAAAGCATCAAAATCAGAGTAGCGCCATCTGGTGACCAGCTTCTAAAGCAATGAAGTCATTTCCCCAATTCGATCTAAATCATTAATATCGATAAAGTATACACAGTTGTTAAGAGCGCGCTGCCGGAGTGGTGGGGATCAGCGTAGAAAACACACTTAAAACATGCCTTTAGATTTTTGTACAATTTTTAAAAACCGTTTGTGGTATCGGCCCAATTTTTTTAAATATTAATCAGCAAGGACCAGCGCAGGAGGTAAGGAATTTTCATCGATCTACATTGGCTATAAATAGGTTAATTACATTTTTGAAAATGGGCAATTTTAATTTTTTATGAAATCAAATCTCCATGAATTTTCGTCATTGCCTTCTTGGGGTCATTACAAAGATAACACATAAGTTTCAAGTGATTTTATGTTCAATTAAAGGAAATTTGTACGAAAATTCATCATTATAAAGTGACCCTAGTGGTGTTTCCCACCATATTTAGATCGAAAGCGAAACGCAAGTGCAGTGGTTCGCCTGTAGATGGCGGAGAAACAGGGCGGTTTCTCATTTGAATTTAAATACATGACCACGGTAGTGAATATACCGCTCTCGTTCGTTCATAAAGCAAAAAGAACGCGACGCTGTAGGTCAGGGTAAATGTAAAGATTTCGGGATCGTTTCCGTTTTTTCAGAACCGTTAATTCAGTAGCAGGAAGGGACGAACGGAGCAGTTTCTTACAGGGGGAAATGTTAAAAATTTTCCAACTTTCGAAATTCAAATGCTAAAGAAACGCTACAACACGCAAAATCCAAGACTGAGACTGGGTCAAAATGGCATGGCTTTACTACCTATGATCACAGATTTATTACTATGATGTAGGAAGTCGGCATTGCTGCTTAATCCTTCATTCACTTCTCAACGAGATAGGTATGCATTCTATGCGAAATCTAATCGTTCGCAATGAGAGCAATTAAATATGATATGACATCCCACTGCTCGCGATATTATGAAAATAAACTTATGTCATTGAATAATATTCAATGCTTATGTTCCACAATTTACTTAGTAATTTAGTATGGTATTTCCCAGTCCCAAGTCGGTTCCATATTATGCCAAATACGATATGTGAGGGGGTGTCTTACGGTTCGCCCCTGTCAGTAGGGATGGTGGGCGTCCCGAAAAAACAAACGCCACATTTCTTTCTAAAGTATTTTAAATCGGCGATCGGTATACTTTGTTTCAAGGGTGCTGAACCTTTCGTCACACTATCTGACGTCACAGCAAAATTAAGGCAGGTCGTAAATTAGTAGTATTGTCACATTGACGTTTCAACTTATTTATTAAGGTGTCACTATCGTTCATTATTATCAGACCGTCCAAGTTGACAATCACTTGTAAGGCATCTGGTCCTGATAGGTTTTTTCCTGTCCCCAGGTTTTATAATGGCTAAATGGTCATGTATTTTGTGTAGAGGAACTCCGTTGGTATGAATTAAACTCGAGATTAAACTTTTTCCACCGTTTGTAATCACCTCATGTAACCGATTCTTTGCACCGACAGTCGAAATGGATACTGCCAGAGCATCAGAAAT